TGAGGATCCCCGGCGCCTTGCTATGGACGTTGAGGAGAAGCTTAACGCACTCTTCAAAGAACGAACAATCCTAAACAGCATAGGGACGAAAGCTACCCCAATGAGATCGGATGCTAAACCTCTTGTCAAGGATCCCAAGGAGTTAATGGCGTACCTTCATGATACTAAGAACTATGCATCTATTGTTGGCTCTCTTATTTACATAAGTATCACTTGCAGACCCGATATTACTCAGGCTGTAAGTCGAGTCTCCAGAGGCATGCATGGTCCAACCGAGCAACATGTGGTCCTCCTTAAAGAACTCCTTCAATATCTAAATGGGACAAAGGGACTGAAGCTAGTTTACTTCCGTGACAAGCATCCCATCTTTGAGCACCTGAAAGCAAGCGCACACGAAGACAAGACTCTTCTTGATCTTGTACCGAAAGATTCCTATAAATGGGACTCTTTAGGCATCATCAAACCTAGTCATGACTTACCGGCGCCTGATGCACCTAGAGCATTTGACCCTGTGTGCAGTAAGGATCTCTGGGGCGCCAGCGATGCTGATCACCTACCAAAGATGGAAGAGTCTAAGAAGTCAACGACAGGCTACACTTTCTTCTTCATGGGCAACTTGATCTCATGGAAATCTAAGCTGCAGCCTATACTGGCCACGTCCACACATGAATCTGAGCTGATTGCCCTAAACATCGCGGCCCAGGAAGCCATCTGGATACGCAACCTCATACAAGAACTGAACTGTGCTATTTCAGGTAAAGACGAACCCCTGAAGGCAACGCGCATTCTGTGTGATAACCTCGGGACAGTTCACACCTCTTCCAACCCTGTTTCTTCAGGCAGGTCAAAACACATTGACATAAAGATAAGAGAGTACCAGTCGGAAAAAGTATTAATTTAATTTAATATCGGCTCTGGCGTGATTTTCCCATGATATAAGATTTTTTATGATTTTCTCCGATGACGTTGGCTCAGAATGATTTAAATACTGCAACAATTTGAATTTTGATTTAATGACTCGAAGGCGACTTTGTTCGAAGACGACTTTGATGGCGCAGAGAGGACAAAAGCGGGCTGCGGACGACGACGGCGAGGCTGCCTTCCTAGCCGACCTCGATGGCCTCTTCGAGCCCGACGAGCCCACGGCGCTCGTCGAGGCCAAGAAGCAGAAGGGGCGCCCCTTGGGGAGCGTCTCCGGGCCGACCTCCCGCCCCACGCACTTCCTCAAGGCCTGCGTGGACGCCAAGGCCGGCAAGGCGTGGCTCATGGAGCTGCCCTACAAGTACCGGCAGATTGGGAACAACAAGACGCGCGCCGTGCTCCGTTGCACGGCGCACCAGACCTCTGAGGGTGGACCGCGCGTCGCTCCGCGTCCAGCGCGCGCGCGCCCGCCGCGCGCATGACCCCCAACCCCCCAGGTGCTCGCATGAGATCCACAAGGTCTACAACGGCGGCGCGCCGACGTTCTGGGCCTTCGACGAGGGCCCCAAGTCCCGGCACGCGATCGACGCGTTGCCGCTGCGCGGCGCCGACGAACCGGGCATCGCGCACGTGTATCTGCGCCCCATCGAGCTGAGGATCGAGGCGGGGCAGAAGGCGTCCAAGATCCACGGCGACCTCATCGTCGAGGCGGGCCAGGACGCGGCCCGGAAGGCGGCCCTGCCTGACCTCGCGCAGGTGCAGTCGTACGTCAAGAACTACAAGCTCCGCCACGCGCCGCGCTGGAAGCTCGAGAACGTCGCGGACCTGCAGCTCTACTACGGCACGTCCAAGGTCCACGACAAGGCCGGCTTCGACGCGCTCGTCGCGTCGAAGGGCACCGACGCCTTCGTGCTCATCGACATGATCACGCTCACGGACGGCGAGGGCGGCGTGTACGAGGCCTGCCTCTTCTCGTCGTCGACCATGCTCAACATCGGCAAGAAGGCGGCCGCGGTCTACGGCGAGGACAACATCCTCTGCGTCACCGACGGCAAGCACAAGACTGAGGTGCGTAACGCGCGATCCTCGCTCCCGCCTCCTGCGCGCGCCCCAGCCTTTGACCGTGTAGGCCGCCGGCTGGATCATCATCCCGTTCGGCACGTCGACGCGCTACTTCGACAGGGACAAGGGCAAGTACTCCAACAAGTTCCTCCCCATCGCGTACATCTTCACCAAGTCCGAGACCAAGGACGTCTTCACGTTCGCCCACGCGGGCACCGTCAAGGCGCTCTCCGTCTTCATGGGCGTCAAGGTCACGTTCAGCGCGCTCTGCGCGGACGCCTCTCCGGCGATCCGCTCCGGCTTTTTGGGCTTCGAGCCCCCCCTCGACCCGGGCATCGCGGACGTCGCGGACGTCGCGGACAAGGGCGTCGACGACCTCGACGACGACGGCATCACGACGGCGCGCGGCGAGGACGAGAACGTCGCGCCGCAGTCGCCCAACGTGCGGGACCGCTCGTCGCACGTCCTCAAGGGCCCCCCGCCGCGTCCAAGGAAGGTCCGCGGCGACGACGACGACGAGGAGCAGGAGTCGGAGGACGAGTGCCCCGTCGACGAGGAGGCCGCGCGCGAGATCGGCGAGGCGCTGGTCAAGCGGGCGAGATACACGATCACGATGCCCCAGGAGCGGATGCGCGCGGGCGTCGCGGAGCGCTGGCGCGACGTCGACGTCAAAGACCCCGTGACGCGCCGATGGTTGAACCGCCTCTACAACGCGGCCATCGACGAGTCGGTCAAGGAGGCACGCCGGTCTGGTTGGACGGCCTGGAGGACGCCGCGCTCGAGGCCGCGCGCGTCCAGTACATCCAGGAGGACGTTGACTGGCGTCACTACGACAAGTTCGAGGAGCTCTTCGAGGGTTTCCTGAGCGAGTTCAACCTCGAGCGCACCAAGGAGCGGCGTGCATGGGTGAAGGGCATCGCGTGCGCCCACCTAAAGCGCGGCCAGGAGGCCGAGAAGGGCGACGGGGTCGTCGCGGACAAGCGCGATGCCGCGGGGTCGCCGCGCGGCGAGCCCCAGGTCGCCGTGCGCCACGTCGCCGGCGTCGCCGACGTCGACACGGCGTCGACGCCGACGCGCGGCGTCGTGCTGACGTCGCAGGGCGAGGGCGAGGCCACCGCGGAGGACCGCTTGGCCGTGCAGGCGACGGGCGTCGTCGACGCGCGCCAGCCCCAGGACCTCGTGCGCGACGGCGCCGACGCCCGCGGCGCCGCCATGGCGTCGCCGCCGACGCGCGACATCGTGCCGACGGCGCACGACGGCGAGGAGGGCGCCCCGGAGGTCCGCGAGGACCCGGAACCGGCGATCGCGCAACTTTTTGCTGGCCACTGCGTCGACTGGAAGCTCGAGTGCCAGAAGCCGTGCCCCAAGCAGGCCGGCTCGAAGTCGGCGCAGCGCTACGAGGGCTACATGCACGCGACGACCGTCGGCGAGTACAAGGCCTTCGGCGGGTCCGCCGCGGACCTCAGGCACGACATCCGCAAAGAGTTCGTCAAGGTCATCCTGCCGGCCGGCGTGGCGGCCCCGGCACGAGCCGCCGTCGTCGAGGACCGTGCCGCCGTCGCGGACCTCGTGCTCCTGAACGACGAGGCCCTGGCGCCAGCGTCGCGCTCGACGTCGACGGACTACTACCACGTCCTGCGCAAGATCACGCAGGAGGTCGGCATCAAGAAGCTGCGCGACGCCAAGGCGCACGGCGGCGAGCTGAAGCGCGTCGTCGTGCTCCTCCACTCGTGCGAGACCCTCGAGCAGTTGCGCGCGCTCGCGAAGCTTTTCACGAGCGCGCTGCGCGAGCGCGACGACCTCATCCTCGCCGACTACCTCACGAAGCCGTCTACGGGCTACTTCGTGGAGCCGTTCAACCGGTGGTTCGTCGCGGCGAACTGGCTGCGCCAGCCCGACGGGACCGTCAAGGGCGCGCGGTACGGTCCTAGCACCCAGCACGGCGAGCGCTACAACAAGATGCTCGAGGACGACATCCTGTGCGGCAAGCGCGCGTCGAAGGAGCACCTGCTCGAGACCATCATCCCCAAGCTCCTCAAGCTCGACGGCGCGCGGCTCGGGCCGTTCGAGCTCATGGACGTGCCGACGGCGATCCCATCCGACGTGCTCGCGGCGGCGCGACGCGTCGTCAAGCTCCAGGAATACTTCGTCCTCGCGCCCAAGGGCGCCGTGACCCGGCCGCCGCGCGGCAACTACTGCGTCGGCACGCGCATCTACGTGAACCGCCCGAAGTTCCACGGCCGCGCGGTGACCCCGGAGCGCGTGCGCGAGCACGAGATCGGCCGTCACGGACGATACACCAAGGCGCTCTCCGTCGGCGACTTCGAGAAGCGCTACCTGTCGCTCACGCGCGTCGAGAAGACGCCCGAGGGCTGGATCGCGCCGACGGAGTCCTACGTCTTCCAGGGCGTCTGCCCCTCGACGACCGCGGCGCTCCATCTCGATCGCGCTCTCGATATCGACGTCCTCCTGCAGCGCCTGCCCTGCAATAAGCGCGCCGGACGCCCAACGAAGAAGGCAGCCGCGCTGACGCCTCAGCCAGCCGAAGTCGCGCGCCGCTCTTTGTATGACGGGCCGTTTGAAGCTCTCGTGGGACGCGGCGCCCCGCCGCTGCGGAACCGCATGGGCGGCGACGGCCGCGCGCAGCTGACAGGCCGCTCGGAGATCGGGCGCCGCGTCTGCACCTGGTCCGCCAACGGGGCCACGTGCGGCAAGGTCATCTCCGCCGCTCGCAACGCCGACGCGAGCATCACTTTTTGTGTGCTCGACGATGACGGGCAGCAGCGCGAGCTCAGTGAGTCGGAGCTCGGCCAGGCCCTCGGCATGTACGAGCTCTACGAGAATCACATGGCCAAGGCGACGGCGGCGAACGAGATGGCCATGGCCGGCATGTCTTTGTGATTTTTTGTGTTTTACCGCGCGTTCCTCCGAGTCCGCGCGGCGCGCGGCGCGCGCGCCGATTTCGAGGAAAATCAAAATCACTCCTCCGACCGAGTGAAAATTAGAAGCACCCCTCCCTCCCCTGAAAATTAAAATTCACCCCTACTTAAATTAAATTAACTCCTGCTCCGTACCAGTCTTCCTCTCAACTCGAGGTAAGACACATCGAGGGCACCAACAATGTAGCTGACATGTTTACGAAGCCCCTAGTTAGGGAGCCTTTTGTGAAATACTGTCGTGCTATAGGTCTTGAGGGCCATCACAATGACTAGCTCTATCAATTTAGCGATTCTTGGACAAAAGATTTTTGTACATGGCCTCGGGCCCTGAGTCCCTCACAGAGGAGGATCTTAGACACTCCGAAGTTCAAGCGAAATGACGCACCGAGTACTCGAAGAGGTCGAAGCACGGCGGGGATTTAGCATTCGCGGAACCTACTGGTAAACTAAAGTATCAGACCATGTTTTTGAGCAAAGACCTTCATGCTGCCTTTAAGGCAATGCACTATAAAAACTGGCTTGACCGCGAAAACTCAATTATCTTACGATTGTTCAGCACGAATTACCGTTAATGAAACAGCAATTTCCGATAGTGTGACCGATCACGAAACACGAATTACAACTCTTGAGAATACAGGGAATATTACCCAACTCCGAACAGATGTAGATGATAACAAACAAATTTTGGATTATGACAGTCACTGCATCGTGTCGATGGTCTGTTTAGCGACTGCTTGCGCGCTGCGCGAAGCAGTGGGGGAAATTAAAATCGCAAAATCGTAATCTTCATGTCGGAGGTCATGCAGTTTGGACGATCTTACGGTCCTTCCGTGGGCCAGTCTATGATGGACGCAATATGCGAGATCACGAGGCAGGACACTAGTGCAGGACTCTCGGAGTTTGACCGCAGGGACCGCCCCGTCATCCAGGCGGCGCTGCGCACGGAGGGCGAGCAAATTGAGATTGACTCTGGCACGTACAAGATCACCGAGGTCGGCCCCACCTGCAAAGTGACTCTCGTCGCTGGCAGCGGCACGCAGTCTATCCTCATCCCGCGCGCAGACGCCGTAGGCGCCTCGCCTTGTTCCTTGGCTTAGCCGGCGGCCCCTCCCCAGTAACAGCCTTGCCTCCATGAAATTCTCCGAAGTCCACGATGGAGCTGATGGCAGCACGATGAGCTACTCGTAGAAGTAGCTCAATAATAATAATTAGACGGAGATAAAGACATCTCCGAGCAGAGCTCCTTCGCGCGCGCGCATGCATCGTACACAACTAGCGTGGGCACCGCCGCCCATGCGTAGAATAAAACACGATGCGTCCCAGCTCCGCTCGACTGCGCCCCAAACAAGGGAACTGGGACCAATAACCGAAATGGTGGTGGGTGCGCAGTCTCCACTTGCAGGAGCGTTCACGCTTTGTGTTTGGACGTAAATATATCCGGTGACATGGCGCAGATCAACTCGCACGGACACTCCGAAAGTATCGCAAACGAGTGTATCGACAGAAAGGAACTCCGGGCCGCGCCATGGAACATCATGGCCAAACAGTATGTCTAGAGCAGACCCAGCCAGACGCGTCCCGACGACTCTTTTGTTGGCCATTGACGGGTGGATGTCGCATGGGGCGCTGTTCGGATCTTCAGCAACCGCGTACCCAACATTGGGAAGATCAAGCATCTGCATCTGGACATGCCGGAGAAACGGAAGCGATAAGTTTGTGCCACGTTCGCAAAAGGAGGAGAGTCGCACGAACCCAAGATAGCCGCTCGAGTGACCAAATATGGCGGGCAAATGAGTAAGAAATTATGGCACGCGCTCAGCGCCGCCTATGACACTGTCGCTGCTGGTCTGCCCCGTTCTTGCAGCACCATTGGCCGGAAGAGCACCTAAGCGCGCCGCGCCCCGCGAACGTCGCCCAGGGATCGAGCCGAAGTGACCCCAGCGCGGCGTCGTGATGCTTCACCGGCTGGCTACGCGGGCTGGAAAACATGTCGCAGCGTCGCACCACTGGGTCCTACAATCAACGTTGCAGGTCGCAGCACTATTTCAGGTCGCATCCGCTCTAATGAGACCCAATTCTAGGTCGGTGGCGTGAACTGTTATTTAGAGTTAGATCCAGATATAGACTACTTAGTAAATAATCTACCTCACTCAAGTTCGAGTTCAAACTCGATGATCTGTGCTTCTAAAGTTGGAGGCGCAGGGTTCGGCAGATGAGCCGAGCGCGTCTTATTCTTGCGGTTAAAATAAATCGCTACTACGCCAATTGCAAAGCTATACTAAACTTTTAGAAAAGCTATCAATAGTGGTGTTTGCACCGAATTAGATCCAGTTCTGTTGGCACCCCCATCTGTACTGTTTGTTTGCAACCGACGTCCAAGGCTATCATTGCAATTGCAACCCTGGCATTCACAACCATAATTCCTAGAAACAAGGAAGCAGCTTTCTCGGGCGTAGGCATTGCAGGTAAATCCGGAGCATATCCTCACACAATCTGATGCCCGTACGTTCATGCCGGTACGCTGGCAGAAAAGCCACTTTGGAGGCCCTCGGAGCGTGCGCGCAATCTTTTCTTTCACGTATCCTTGATACAAGGACCACTTTAAAAAAAGGGAAATTACTATGTTGGAACCAATAGGGGTGCCCAAACTAGGGCAACCAGGAACGTTGACATCAACGTTACGGGGGAGTGTTAGAAAGTATTAAGGAAGGGAATGGATATTGGGTGGCTCTGTACCAGCGAGCCACTTCTGGACGGGATCGCCATCAAAATCCGCAAACCGTTGTAGCGAGGGCAGCTGCGAAAGTTACGTGGACTGACCTACTGGCGTTAGCGCCAGGGAAGGGAGGATCTCAGTACTTTCGGATAGGAAAGGAAAGGAAAAGGGAGGAGAGCCTCCTCAGTGGGGAAGGTCGGTCAGGTGGCAGTAGGCTCAGTAGGCTGAGCCTATGGTCCTAGAGAGGGAAGTAGACCCTGAGGGTAAGTTGAGGTAGAACTTGAAGGTAAGTTGAGGAAGAGTCAGGGAATAATCCTCGAGGGTAGTTCAGTAACTTTAAGCTTCTTGGATGCACCATCTTCAGCGGTTTCCTTCAAGTTGCGTTTCTCCCCCCGCTCGCTTAGCGTTTGCCACTTACGAGTTTCCTTGAAAATGAGGTGCTGGCGCTTGAGTTCACCTCTAGTTTTGATGTATACCTCTTCAAATTGAAGGATGAAGTTCTTGAGAAAATTTAAATCCTGAATGATGCGACCGATATGCTTAGACTCATCTTCATCAGTATCATCGGTTTGAGAACTCAATGAAACACGCGCTTTCAATAGCCTGAGATTGCCCAGAGAATCAACGATCAAATCTTTGCGAGGGTGCTCTGACAAATCACTTTCTCCAATCTCGCGACCACAGTTCCAAAGATGACCCATTTTTTCAGAGTCCTCGAGAGCATCAATTTTTTGTAATGATGACTGCTGAATTTCGGAGATCTCTTGACGGTCGCTACGTTTTTTTATCCACGGAGGGATATCTTCCAAGCGGTCAGGAATACGCTCGCCCGGGGCGAGCCGAAATCGAGCAACAACCCGGACCTTGACGGATGCACGTCGGAGTTTACGTCGCCAGGATACAGTCGCATCCACTTTCGTTGAGCCTTCTTTACTCAACTCCCCGTGAGCTTGACTTACATGATGCCATCCCTGCGACGCGTCGGCAGTACCAGCGGCGGTGGCATTGTCGTCGGCGTTGTCCCCGAATTTGCCATGCACATCCTCCTTTCTAGTTCGATCATCGCGGCTTGGCTGGATTAGGGTAGAATCATCAGGGTAGCGTTCATTTAAGTATGACTTTAGCTTCTCTTTGAGTTCGGTCCCCTTCCACTTATTTATGTAGCATTCGTCCAATATTTCAAAGCATCGTGGGCCGATGACGCTGCCCAGAGCTTTTAGAAAAGAATTGTTTCTACAACATTTGTCACTGACAAAATAAGGCTCGAGTTTCTTGAAATTGCCCGCGTTTTTCTTAAGAAATCCACACAAATCATCCCAATACTTTTAAGTTGTGACTGGTATGCCAAAGCTAGTGCATTTTGGGGATTGAAGGATGGAGCTTTCTCGACAATAGTGCCTTCCCCTTTCTTCGAAATCTCGCGCACTACGAAATTGTTTTCTGCTGCTTTTGCATCAACGTTTCCGTTTGCATCAAGCAACGGCTCGTAACGGCCTGACCTTTTTACTAGCGGGACCTTAGCGGTAGTCCTGGAAACCGCATTCTCCGGATCATTGACGTTGCGCTGACCCCCGTGCCGCAAGCGATCCGCGTCCCGCCCATTGAGCTCCCGATGGTTTGCGCGATCCGCAGCTTGGATCGCATCTGCGGTCTCGGCCTCTTCGTTCGCCGCATCCGAAGTCTCGGCTGCGTCGTTCGCCGCATCCTCGGACGAGCTGCTTCTGTCGTCGGAGGAGTCACCACTGAGTGATGAGAGTAGTTTTTGAACTTCATCATCAGATAATCGTTCATTATCTAAGTCGATGTTGAGGACGTATTCTTGGCAGAAATCGACGTATTCGACGTCGGAGTTGTTGGCCGTCTCCTCCATGGGCTCGGGCTCGTTCAGCACTGGCGCGGGTGCTTCTATGATTTCGACTCTACAATTGTCCATCCAATCACACTTGGGGCGAGCCGTTCGTGATTGTCTCAATATTCCCGTCGAGACAATCAAGGAAGACCTCACGAGCGCTGCCCTCGACCGGCAGTCCGGGACGGCCGGGCCTCGTTTTAACGTATGTACAAGGCAGAATCTGTACAGGTAATCTTCGATTAGCCAGGAAAGTAGCGCCCAAAGGAGAGAGAGAGAATGAGCTGTTATTTATTATTGCAGCTCAGTCGATACTCGCTCCTTATGCTCTTATCTGGCCGGCGCTGCTGAAGCAGCCCGCCGGCGAAATTCTTTCTGGGTAAGGGGGCATAGTGTA